CCAATTGTGTCTAATGTTAAAGGCCATCGGCCCAAATTGTTTGGACTTCAACATCAGATCATTCAAAGCACAGAAAATTATTAGCGAGACCAAGACCTACCCAAACGACAGCTCCTTGGCCATTGAATTCCAATTAAAACGACGACCCCCTTCATCATTCCGCATTAAAAATTCCTGTCGCCGTTAGCAAATCTCAATTTCCTCTTCCCCCGCACCTATTTCTCATGCCGAGTCCTGTCCCAGTCTCCATCCGAAAATTCCCCCGCCAACTATATAATGCAACCAAATTGCTTCTGCATTGCAATAACAGAACAAAATTGGTTCAACCATGGCTAAACCAATAACCACCGTGAGCTTTGCCTCCACCAGTACTTGCTTTTCCATTCTGCTCATTCTCGTTCTGTCGCACTACCAATCTCCCACTGCCGCCGCCGCCGCCGCCGACTTCCCACACCTAGAAATTGCAGAATCCGACGACCAAGAAGCTCCCTTTGAAGCTCCAGCACCCTCCCCGACCGACGAAGACGATGCAGGAGATTATTATGCGCCATTTGAAGCTCCAGCATCTTCCCCAACTGATGAGCTGCTGTACGACGTCGTTTACGCTCCCCTCGAGTCTCCGTCCCCTGCTCCAGCAGAAGAAGAAGAAGAAGAAGACGATTACCCGCCATTCGAAGCTCCAGCGCCAAGCGAGCTTTCATACGACAACTATTATGCTCCTCTCGAGGCTCCGTCGCCAACCCAAGAGGACGATTATGCCCCTATTGAAGCTCCAGCGCCTTCCCCCGCGGAGGAGGAGGAGGACGATTATGCCCCTCTCGAAGCTCCAGCGCCATCCCCAATCGAATCGGCATCCTTGGGTGATGAGGGCGAGGACTTGGCGGCGCCGTTTCAGGCTCCATTGCAGCCGACGTCAGTGGTGGACGCGGATACGATGGAGGCGGATGATGACGACAGCAGCATGGAAATGAATGCGGCGGAGGGAGGAGGAGGAGGAGGAGGGTGGAATAAAGCTGGAGTTGGGGTGTTGGGGAGCGCTTGCCTTTTGGGGATTGGGGCGTTTGTGTACAAGGAGAAGAGGAGCAAGGGGGATGCGCGGAGGCGACGGCGAGGATGGGATTACGAATCCTTGTACAAGAAGAAGAAGAACGAAACCTCAATGTCCAAGAAGCACGAGGTTGAGCTCCTCCCCATGCTTGCTTGATCATATGATATATATATATATATATATTGTGCAGTAATTTGTGGGCAGTGGATCAAGAAAGGCTTTGTTGCTTTATTAAATAAAAGTACAAAAAGAGACAATTCAATTTAAGGAGACATTTCTAGGATTATAACTAAAGGCAGGGCAGCAGGTATAATTTTCCCCATTATTTAACATTTGCTTTTGTTTGTTGCCATTCATTATTCATGTATTATGTCTTTGTCACAGTAAATCATAATTTGGTTGAACATCTAGTCGAATTTAACATAGTGATGATGCTTTTCCCAATTAATACCGACACCCAGCGGCGAGCCAAGAGCCTTTTTTTTATCTTTATTGTTATTTTCTCTATTTATGAATTGTATGACAGGTCATTGAGTAACGCGTGTCGTTATTGGGAGACGAAATTGAGAACACAATCACTCGTGTTAGAAACATTGGAATACAACTGACGCAAATCTTAAACATTGGAATTGAAGAATACTTGTCTCGCAACTTCCATGCGATAAACCAAGTAAACTACAATAAAGTGTGATAAAAGAAAGACAATAAACTAATATTTGAGTTTCAATCTTCTTATCATTAAACGGGAGAACAAGAGATATTTACAGGCACAGAGAACCTCAAAATTCTTCTCCTTCCCAACCATGGTTCGGCCATCCCTCTTCCATTTCCTACCCAAAATATGACAACCTCACTCATAAGGACACTATAAATAAATGCTAAATAAATACCAAACGAAAATCGAAACCTAAAACAACAGTAATATCCAGAATAATAACTAAATACTTAACTAATTAATGAACTACTAAAAATAGATAAGTTGAGAAACTGCCGAATTATTACAATAGACCGTCTCGTAACAAAATGTTCGAGAAGGTTACATTCATTGTGATCCAAATTTAGCTAGAGATTAAAAGCCAATAATTCAAATATCTCTACAAAAAAAAAATATCAATCATATCGTTTCCAATATATAAAAAAAACTAATTTCAATTGTAAACTATGAATTATCATCTGTTATTTTCCCTTTCTTTTTAGTGTAGGAGTACACGTAGATATTATATTTCTTAAAGATAGTATAAAATTATTTAAGAATGATTTGTACTAGTTTCACATCTTTCTAAAGTAGTTAAATCATTTTAAAAATTATTCTGTTTTTTGTCAACTAAAAATTATTCTAATTATTGTTGTATTATGAAGGGAAAAATAAAATTTCTAAATTGGTCCACTACAAAAATCGCCCAACATTTTCTGTACAGTCTCCAGTCTAGACCTCTTTTTTTTTTTTTTATCTTCATTATTCTGGGACACTCCTTCCAGAAACCGGAGCCTTTTCGTGAAAATTTGACAGCAGCTAGTCGCCTAGCTGCACGGCGGAAGCAAGCAATTAGGGTTTTCCAATTCCTCTTCTGTAGTCATCGATCGCCATGTAGTAGAGTTCTAGATCCTCTTTCTTCCCCACCCATCTGCAATACCGACAGTTCCTCTGGTAAATTACCTTTCTTTCCCGATCTTATTGCTGATTTCTTGTTCGTGTCGTGTTATTTCAATTTGCGCTTCCCTACTCGTGAATCTCTATACTCTCCGCTTAGATTAGGGTTCCACGGATCCCTTCCCTTCAAATCCCATTGGGGGCTTCTCTTTCCGGCGATTATGAGGTTGCCGACCTCAGTGAAATCCCTGTTACAGTTAGAGGCGGCGGTGGGGAAGCCATCTAGACTTCCATGGATGTTTTCGTCGCTGTTTTCTTACTCAGAAACTCCTCAAAAGAAAGCAAAGGCTGCGCCTTTGCAGGAGACTAGAATGAGGGACAGAATGAATCTACATGCCAAAGGTGGTGTTGGTGGGGGTGGGTGCTGCAGCTTCCACAGAAGCAGGGTTGTTCGCCGTGGGAGAGCCGATGGTGGGAATGGTGGAAGAGGTGGTGATGTGATCCTGGAATGTTCCCCTGCAGTTTGGGACTTTAGTGGTTTGCAGCATCATGTTAATGCAGCCAGAGGGGGTCATGGAGCCTCCAAGAATATGATAGGCACTCGAGGAGACGATAAGGTCGTCCGAGTACCCATTGGCACTGTGATTCATCTTGTTAGGGGTGAGCTTCCATCTTTAGTTCAGGCCAGATCGACTGAAGCTGCTTTGGATCCCTGGGATCTCCCTGGTACGTTAGATACTGATCCAACTACAAATTTTCAGCAGGAGGCATTGGCTACTGAGAGGTCGGAATCAACTTATGAAGAATCACCGAACGTAGATGTTAACCAGAATAAGTTGACAACTGCAGAAAGTGAAGATGTACAATACAATGTTGCAGAATTGACTATACCAGGCCAGAGAGTGATCGTTGCTCATGGAGGGGAAGGTGGTTTAGGTAATGTTTCTACTTCAAATGTTCCGAACAATGCCAAGACTGGAAAACCAGGGATATTGAATAAGGGAAACTCTACTGATCCTGATGATCACCCCTCCGTCAGAGCTGGTTCACCTGGTTCTGAAGCTGTCTGCATACTGGAGCTCAAGAGCATTGCAGACGTAGGCCTTGTGGGTATGCCAAATGCTGGTAAGAGCACTCTTTTGGGTGCTTTATCCAGAGCGAAGCCCACAGTTGGCCACTATGCCTTCACAACACTTCGGCCAAACTTAGGGAAAGTGAATTTTGAAGACTTCTCAGTCACAGTGGCTGATATCCCTGGACTGATAAAGGGTGCTCATGTAAACCGTGGACTTGGCCATTCCTTCCTACGACACATCGAGAGAACAAAGGTGTTGGCTTATGTGGTAGATTTGGCAAGTGGATTGGATGATGGTAGGAAAGGACTTCCACCATGGGAGCAACTGAGAGATTTAGTATTGGAGCTGGAGCACCATCAGGAAGGGTTGTCTGATCGGCCTTCAATAGTTGTGGCTAACAAGATAGACGAGGCTGGGGCGGAACTAGTGTTTGAAGAATTGAAAAGACGGGTGCAGGGTGTTCCCATTTACCCAGTATGTGCTGTTCTGGAAGAAGGGTTGCCTGAGATGAAAGCTGGTCTCAGGGTCCTGGTGGATGGTGGAGGCAAATCTGGGCGACTCTGCTTGGATAATATTGATTGTTCTGCTGATAAGATGGAGCCTGAAGCTGGAAACCTCTGTGAAGTCAGCTCGCTTTGATATTTTCTAGGCTACTCTGAGGAGGTCCAACGAAACCACACGTGTGCTGTGCTGCCCTACCTACCAATGTGTTTGTTAGAATTGCTGTTTGTGTAATACTGATCCCTGATTATTTGCCAAGGCATCAATCAGTATGCTGCAATAGAAGTATAGTTGAGGCATGAGATTTGTCGAATGATATATTTAACTGGTTCTCGATTGAGGGGATGAGTTAAATTCAGGGGAAACCATAATTAGTATGGGAAAGTCAGTCGAATAAAGAAAGCTCGCCGAAGTGATTGGAAGGGGGAAAGTTAGGTCTTTGGTTAAGATCGATATATTATGGAGCGGTTTCAGCAATTCTTTGGTGTGCTTATGCTACAGGACTTGTTTCTTGCTGATACTTTCTGCAATCTAAATGTTTCCCAATTAATAGAGTGCTTGTGTTGTGTGAATTTTTTATAATCTTGTTTATTCCTGAGGATTACAGATTTATTGTCCCATCTCATCCGCATTGTGTCTTTTTCAAGTTCTAGTACCAAAACTTGGTTAATAGTTGCTCGCAAGAATGTCTCTCAGTTCCTCGCTTCTTTCTTTTCTTTTAGGCTGACTTCTCAAAGCGAATGTTGAGTTTTGTACAGCGGAAGGGTTAAAGAGACGGCACTAGATGTGGAACTTCGCATCAAACTGTCTTGCTGGAAGTGTCAGTTTAAACAGCTCATCAAGTTCAAAGCCAAATCAAGTCACCCCATCTGAATACTCGGACGATGAAGCATCTTCTGTTGTGAGCAGAGAAGAAGGCCTGGAGTGCCCAATATGCTGGGAATCCTTCAACATTGTGGAAAACGTGCCCTACGTCCTGTGGTGCGGTCATACCCTTTGCAAAAACTGCATATTGGCTCTCCAGTGGGCTGTTGTGAAGTTCCCAACTTTACCAGTTCAACTCCCGCTTTTCATCTCCTGTCCATGGTGCAATCTCTTGTCATTTCGCCTGGTCTATGGTGGAAACCTCAAGTTTCCACGCAAGAACTACTTCCTACTATGGATGGTTGAAAGCAAGAATGATGATAGAGTCAAGACTCGTGCATCATCTACCTTTGAGGATCATCCAAATGTTTGGTCGGCGAATTCCAGCTTGGCTGGTTCTGGAAGTCAACATAATAATCACCATCACCACCTGCGGCAATCTAGGTCAAGCCATGATGCTGTTCATGGCAACAATAATCCTCATTTCCTCAGTGTGGGGAGGATAAAATCATCGCTGCAGAAGTCGTTGGTTTTCTTTGTTCACCTTACTGCCAAGTTCCCTTTGGTCATCATATTCCTTCTGATCATCTTATACGCCGTACCTGCCAGTGCAGCCATTCTGGCGCTGTACGTTCTCATCACTGTTCTGTTTGCCATACCGTCGTTTCTCATACTCTATTTTGCTTATCCCAGTTTGGATTGGCTTGTCAGAGAAATCATCACTTGATATCATGGTATTTGCCAGCTACTTCATAATTCGATGACTTTACGAGCCTCAAATGTGGATCGCCATTGTGTATCTATGTAGATTATACATGAGCTTTTGTAATGAATCTCTTCTGCTTGCTCCCCATTGGTATAGGGTCTATGTTGGCAGCAGAGGTACTGGAGGCAGAAGCCATCTTCTGCACTGTACTGGTTTCTGGTCATTTCGAGAGATCTCTTTATGTAAGACAAGTTTGTGGTGATAGTGGATTAGGGAAATTGGTTTCGCATATATGTGTAATTAAATGCTACCATGCTAGTGCAGTCAGCTTCAGAATCAGTGGTTTCTGTGTTATACTCATCATTGCTTGGCCTTCTTCCTTTTTCACCATTGTAGTCTGACGCTGTCGAATAGCCGACCGTTACGATTTCAGGCTGTGGATGTCCAATAACTTCTCTATAGGTGTTACCAACTGCACAATTTCAGCTGGTGGATGGAATCATTTGCAGGTGGATGTCCATTGACTCATCGAATGATTGAGATAGAGGATTATGCGTGGCGATCCGTAATCGCCTACAAATTTCATTTTACTGAGGATGTGTTTCAAATTGATGGTTTAGGAAAGCAGGAAATCAATTTTTCTTATGTGAAACGAGACCGTTCATTTCCCATCCACAGAAAGCAAGAAGAAAAAAAGCTGCAGGGAATACTTCATCGCAGGCATATCGCCACGTGTCACAGACATAGCTTCCAAACTTAGCCACTCAATATTTCGAAGGAAAAATAATCCAACCTTCAGGTTCTTCTTTCTAACCCGCCAGGCAAACCAGAAGTATTGTTGCAGAAGGATATGATATGGCGGGAGCCATTAACCTTTGCGGTTCCAAGTCAGCCGCATTACAGAATCTAGCAGTGTCTTTCAAGGACCCAAATCATGGATTCCTTGGTGGGTCATCGTTGAAGTTCAAGGATCTCTGTTGGGAATCCAAACCCAGATTCTCCACCAGCAGCAGAAGCGCAAGAAGACTGGGGCTTGTAGTTGCTGCTGTAGAAGAAGAAGAAGCCATCTCAAAGGGAAGCTCTGATGGCAGATTTTACTTCAACTTCACTGGCTTTCCTTTTCCTCTTGGCCCTTTTCTCAACAGGCGCACTATTAGAACTGAGGTCGGTCCCTCTTCCCATCTCCTTCTTTAGCAGTTGCGGCTAGCAAAGTAATTTTCTTTGTTAAGTGGGTTTGGTACTTTGGTTTGTGTATGTTGGTATAGGTTGTGAAAGGATCCATATGGCTGTTTGAACAAGAACAAGCATTAGGGTTCAGCAGTGTCTCCACAAACATCAGAATGACAGTCATCAAGCTCAAATCTGGAGGCTTGTGGGTACATGCTCCCATTGCCCCAACAAAGGAGTGCATTCAGGTTCTTCACCTTCTACTTTTAATATCATACTGCAAAGAAACGATATAAGATTGACAGTTGATCCTCTTAGGCTTTAGCGACTTGAGTTATGAGGATGAATTGGTTCTCTATATATACTTGATCTTTGAAGTGTTGTGTTTGAATCCTCAAAGTCTGTAGAAAATGATAGAAGATTCAAACTTGATCATCTTTTTATAACTTGTGTTGTTGAGTTGAGCTTGTTGTTGACATTAGGGACCGAGAAGCTCAATATCCACTAATGTTTCTCGTCCTTCATCTGCACAGTAAGTCCGACGTGTGGCTTCGCTGACAAGAGATCTTGGTTTATATGTCACAGCTTCTGAAGGATTTAGATGCCCCTGTGGAGTATATCATTCTGCCCACATTTGCTTACGAGCACAAAATATTTGTTGGTCCGTTCTCTAGGAAGTTCCCCAATGCAAAAATTTGGGTTGCACCAAGGCAGTGGAGTTGGCCATTGAATTTGCCACTTGAGTTCTTCGGGATCTTTGGTGCCAAAACATTGAAAGACGAGGACTTGTCAACTCCTTGGGCGGACGACATTGAGCAAAAGGTTCTCAGTGCACCTGAAGTTGGTAAGTTCGAGTTAATTCCAGTTGTATTTAGGCAGTGGCGGCACAATCAGGTTTTCATGTGACAATGTTTGTTTCAGGGCTTGGGCCTTATGTGGAGGTTGCTTTCTATCATAAGCGCTCAAGATCACTTCTGGTAACCGATGCTGTGATTTTTGTCCCAAGAAAGCCACCTGACTGTATTGGTAAAGATTCACTGTTAGCCTCTGCAAAGAATGGCTTAGCAGTGAAAATCCTTAGTAAGGGGAAGGAAGTATCCGAGGAGCCTGTTGTCGATAATCCAACGAACCGTCAAAAGGGTTAGTCTTTTTTGTTTTGTTTTGTTCTTAACCCAACATCCAAAAACTAAGGACAGTGTTACATATCAAAAGTGTGACCTTGCAACTGTATTCTTAAGGTTTAGTCCATCAAAAGGGTTAGAATCAACTAATTTGCTTACTTTGTGCAGGGTGGGAAAGAATGGTTCTCCAGATCCTATTCCTCGGTCCATCTAATCTCTTAGAACCCAATGCCAGTTTTGCTCAGATGTCCCAGAAATTGATAGTATCACCCATCGTAAAGACACTAGTATTCAGCAAAGTACCAGAAAAGGTAATGAGAGAACTTCATAATCCTGTTTTTTCAGGGTAACCGGTTCCTTATTTGTCCTTGGTTTAATAACGCCGGTTTCTTGGCTCGTCTCTTGAACACTACACAGGTGAGGGATTGGATAGATAGGATCGGGAAGGACTGGAGATTCAAGAGGATCATCCCAGCCCATTTCGCTGCTCCAGTGAATGCCAGTAGGTCAGATTTCATGGCTGCATTTGCATTTCTGGACGATCTATTGGGGGAACAATATGCTACTCGGCCATCACTATCTCTCCTCTTCGCATCCATCATGGGGAAAGCTGCAACTTACTTCCCTCCGGATGACATGAAGACTCTATCATCCCTTGATCAGTTCTTAGTTTCTGTTGGTGCAGTCAAGAAGACTGTCTCAGGCCGCCGGAAGAGAAAAGCAGCATTCTAGAACTGCAATGTAAGCATCATCTGTCTCTAGTACTTGCTGTTGATAATACACAAATACTTGTGCCATAGTTTAGTCGTCATAGTGATTCCAAATTTCACAAAGTTGAATATATATACCTTCGATTTAAGCACGCATTAACAGTTTCGACCCACATTTTCTGCGTTTCCTCGGATTTCAAATATTTTTGCAGAACAAGTCGCAATGGCTGTGGGTTTCTTGTGTCCTTTGTTGTTATGATGTGATTGTTGTTGGAACATTGTTTATATGTTTGATGAAATTGGACTATCGGTTGGCCATAACTGTGGTACCCGCCAAAACAGCATTCGTCCATATAACTAGTTTCATAATGATAAATTTGGCCGGCGTCCCATCCATTCCCCATAAAAAAACATCATAAAGCAATCTATTTCATACAAGAATCTACTAATCACCAACAAATCGGTTGAACATTTTCTATGAACACTGCTAGTCTAGTTGAATATATAATAAGAGTTTGGGGAATCTGCAGAGCCCACCTGAGATGACTACAAATAATAGAATGAGAAGAAATTCAAGGAGTAAGTAGTCGGATACAATGTATCCAAGAAAGGGAGAAAATTATCCAATTACCATGTATCCGTGTTGAGGTCTAGTGAGAGTTTAAAACTGATTATAGTGGTCTAGCTAGAATTTAAAACGGTTGTAGCTATTCTCTTATATAGCACGTATGTCATTTAAAGATGAGAGACTTTTTCGTTGTGACTTTACAAACGATTGTTGTTATGTGAGCATGAAGATTTAAGACGGTAAGGTTATGGATATACTTGATTTTGAATTCGTCAAGTGGAATTCTTAAAATCTTACTAGAGTCTTACAAATGGTTATACCTATACCTAATATCTTATATGAATGTGTTTCTTTTAAAGATGAGAAACCTCTTCAGCTCTTCTTCCTCACCCTCAACAATTTGTATATGTTACTCTCTATAACTCTATCGCAACCACTCTTCCTTAAATATCCAATGTATTCTTATCTTGATTCGATCATCCGAGACTATTGCTACCTCTCCATATTCAAGAAAATCAAACAAATGAGAACTTTGATAAATCAGGACCAATTATTCATATTTTCAACCCAGTCTAAAGTTTTTAAACCAAACCAAAACACTAATCATTATCCATACAACATATACATGAACTTGTTAGAATTAAATTCACCTCAAAGAAGGAATGATGAATTGCGATTATCTTGATCATGAATCATGATCAATCATCATCCTCACAAAATCCTAATATACCAATGCGATTTGTTCTATAGTTGTTACTTCAAGGGGTGGCAGTCGGTCGGTTTCGGTTTAACCGAAAACCCGGTTATCGGTTAAACCGAGACATCCCCTAGAGCTGCCGACCGAAGAGGAGGTCACGGTTAGCCGGCCAACCGACCGGTTGGTACCGATTTTAGGCTCGGTTAGCCGGCCAACCGGAAAAAAAATATCTTCCAAAAAAAAACCAAAAAAATCTCCTCCACTCCTTCCTTATCTCCTCCTCTCTCCTTCCTTCCTCCACCAGACCTCTTCTCTCACCTTTCTTCTTCTTCTTCTCTCACCTTCTTTGTCCATGGAAATAGATCTGCAGAGGCGACGAGGTGCGGTGACGGGCGGCGCGGCGACGGGGAGGAGGAGGTCGTCGAGGCGAGGCGAAGCTTCGACGAGGCATCTTGCTTGGCGCGGCGCTCGAACAGTCCGCCAGGAACACGATCGGAGCTCGCGGCCGATCGTTCCAGCCGCTACCGTCAGATCCCGCTGTGGATCTTCCCATGCATCGGGCCTCTGTTCCCGGCGAAGGTGGCCAGCGCGACGTCGACGTCGTACAACGCGAAGTCGTCGAACTCCAGCGACAGCGACAGGACGTCCACGCCGTCGCGGAGTGCCCGATCGATGGCCGCGATGTAGTCGGAGGTGAAGGAGCGGGGAGCAGAGAAGGCAGGGGAGGGCGGAGGAGGCAGGGGAGGGCGGCCGGAGTCGTCGCCGGCTCGCCGCTGCTGTGTTGTGGCCTTTGTGGGAGTGGAGTGGGGCGGCTGTGCGAAACGAGAGGAGGGAGGATGGGGGAGGGCTGCTAGGGTTTAGGGAGAGGTGGGTACTTTTATATTAGGCCAAAACTACGTCGTTTAGCGTCGGTCGGTTAGCGTCGGTTAGCCGGTTAACCGTCCTCGGTTTTTCGGCTAACCGCCTAACCACTGAACGCCTCCGACAACCGACCGCCACCCATTTTTTTCGGCTTTCGGTTAGCCGCTAACCGGCGGTTAACGGTTAGACCGGCCGGTTAGCCGCTAACCGGCAACCGAACTGACAGCCCTAGTTACTTGTTACTTAGCTTGGTAGATGCTAGATAGTATCTTATGAAAAAGGTGAAGCAGCCAGCCACTTCAATGATTGATCAAGGGAGGGGAAAAGCCTTACCTGCAGGGGAAGCAAAGCTTGCTTGCTTACTTTCCTGGCTTCGATCATTGATTTCAAGAGCGAGGAAAGAAGAAAAGAGATGGGGTTTAGGGATTTGGGATTGCATGGGAATCATCATATTATGCTTTCTGACTTTCTTTCTTCGTCAAAAGGAATGGGGACAAGCTAAGAGACAATTTTGTGATAGTAGAGAGAGAGAGAGAGAGAGAGAGAGAGAGAATCGTCTTGGATCCTTTCTTCTCCACGTTCACTCTTGGTGGGTTTGTTTCTGCTTTCACTTCTATCTCGAGTAGCTTCCATTAACGTTCATTTCACCTTTTCCCTCCTGCTTTAGCTTTTTCTTGATCCAACAATGGCATGTTCTTTGCTGACATTTTTATCCTAAAGATAGATTGCTGGACCACCATTGTAATTGTTGATATGAATCTACCTTGTACCTTTGGTTGTAAGTACTTAACTTAGTTACTCAACAACTAAAGAGGTATTCACACATGGGTATATGGTAAATTTTTTGTAGGAAATTGAGTATATATCTCGATCACGAGATAGATCATATAATAATAATAATGCAAATATAATAACATGAAAAATATTATTTCTCTTGTGCTTTCGCGAAATGATAGAGTAGTCAATTATATGAATTTGAATTGTACGATCAATATTAGTGAACATGTGAAATATGGACACAATTTTCATTATTTGGAATTGGTGGCTAGAAAAGAGGAGTGTGATCTTGATTTACTTCATGACTTAAAGGAGGATAACGACAGAAATATCCATATTAATGATCCTTGGAGAGTTAATCCATGTGCTTTTCATGGAAAGATAGCTATCGTTGGCTATTGGTTATGTGTTTAAATAAGGGGGGAGTTCAATGGTGATTCATTTCATGAGTTAGAGGAAGGCAACAACAAGAAGATCCACAATTGCATTCCTTCGGAAGTCGATTGTTAACAAGCTTCATCATTCTCAGATCTTAGATTTTTGAATAATTAGCATACATCTTTCGAAACATGATCTTATTCGTACTTTGAAATTAATTGGATAGTATATTGAAAATCAATCTAAAAAATAACTTTGCGGTACCTCACATTCTATGCACACGATAAACCTTGATCTATAGCGTATAATACAAGTTAAATACACGAACAAAACTGAATTTTCTCTATTGTAAAAAAAAATTGAATTTTCTCTGTTATCAATTTCAAATGACAATTGATCATTAACCACCTCAAATAAATATTAGAAAATAAACAATTGTATCTTAATTCAAAAATTCATACTCCAACAAATTGTCGCGAATTTACTTTACGAAAGAGTTCCTTTCAAAACTTTGAGAATCTCATTTTCGGTCAATTGATTCCAACAAATGGAAAGTCCACCACATTACAATAATGAAAACAATTGACCAAGTGAGTGACAATAAGAATACAAATTTAAGGAATTAAATGCACCCAATTAGCTTTCAAAAATAGAATTTTGAATAAACCAAAGTTAGTGTCTCCCCATTCATTCAGCCACCAGTCAACATTCTGTTCCCCTTCAGGCCAAATTAATACAAGGAAAGAATACAAAGTTATATTTTGCGTAAATCATTCTACTAAAAAGAATTTAAATCTATAAAACTATCCTAAATCATCATATAACTTTGACATTTGCAAAACTAGTCATGAAGCTTTTCTATTTTACTAAAAAAATGCAGAACCAAACTCAGCAGAGCTATAGTTAAACCTATACACTCGTATACCTAAATTAAAAATCGAAAAAGAAAATACGCATTTTTATCATTTATCAGGTGCAAATATTCTTTTCTAGCTTTGAATGTAGATTGCTTATAGGTTTGCTGAATTGTGTGACAGCGTTTATGCATCCTCATGTAAATCATTGATTAATAAGATTTTATTCAAATTGAACGAGGCCTTAAATAGTTAAATAAAGGTGGACGACAAGAACTTTTTATTAGAAATTTCAAATTTTCAAACTTGTCTTCCATTAAAAAATCATAGTAATAAATACTCATTAATAATTTTATACAAATACCATATTCATTTTGGATAAATTACTCCATACTTATCATTTGGGATGTGAAAAAATGGGTAATGGGAATATAAATAGGAGATTCGTAAATTCTGCAGCGGAGAGAAAGGAAAAGCTCGCCAAACTCAGCCTGGGGGGAATTGATCTTGATTTTGAATTTTTATTGCTTGCACGATCTTTCTCCGGCAGAGTCGACCGACACGGAAGCTTAATTCATATTATAGTCTAGGAATCAATCTTCTCAAAGGCAGAATCCTACTCCAAATCAAATCTCTCTCACTCTTCTCCCCCATTGAATTAGTTTTCGGTTTTCCCTGTTTCCCCTTTTCCTTCGCTTTCTGGTTACGCACTATCCTCTGCTTTTTTGTGCGGCACTTCCTTTTCCGTAACACCAACAACCAAGGAAGGTACGCTCCTCCTCGATAATCCCCACATCCTACTTTTGGTTATCTCGTCCTTCTTCCTCCTAAAGCTTCGATCTTTAGCCGAAAATTTTCTGGGCATTTGCTTTGAGTTAACGGGTCGGACTCTGTTTGATTTTGGTTCTGGGTTTTTTTGGGTGGGTTCTAGCTTTCTTCTCTTTGGGATTCCTGAGCCATTTTGGTTGTTGAATGTTAGTTGAAGTTGGGTGTGTCTTCCCATTTGGTACGGCTTATTTTGCTTGTTCTTTTTCTTTTCTTTATCTCTATTCTCTGATGGGACGCGGTTGTTCATCCAATACGTTGTTATGGATGGTGAGTGGATTAGAAGATTTGCTGTTTCGAGTTCCTTATAGAATGTATTTATGTTGATCCATGGCTTTTGGATGCATTTGCATTATGCTACATTAAGTGTTTGAATCTGTCATTTCTGATTCTCTTGGAAGATCAACCTGTTTGCTGCAATTCCAGATTCACTTACTTTTCCTGTTACATAATTATTACTTGTGCTTGTTGTGTAAGGGATGGACTGAGTAATGGTGTTTGATATTGATGGTGGATTCATGTTTCTGTGAAATGATTATTGTATGTTCTCTTTTTGGTTTTGTCAATAGGTTTTTCCATCCATTTCCACCCAAAAGTCTGCAGATTGAGAACCCTTTTCATTGTTCTTGATTAGTCTGGATACAATACAGTTCTAGACTCCAAATGTAGGTTCATAAACAATATTGAGAACAAATTATGAAAAACAGTTCTGAATAATTGTCTCTGTTCCTTTTATTTTCTCTGAAGGTTAAGAGTAATGTTTTAGGAAATTTATCTATGGAGGTTAAGATTATAACAAAGACATTATTTCTTGATAGGCCTGAGGTTGGCTTTTACAAAACCAAAGGACTCTTCTCAAAGTCCATTGCTTCTCGTGGCATTACTTGGTAAGTTATCCTTCTTATGCTAATAATCTTGTATAGTTGTATTGCATCTTCTTGTCACACTAATCACAGATATTTGATGGTTTCTTCAGTTGAGCATCTATTCGCTGTTATCTAGTCCTATCCAATGGCTGACAGGAGCATCAGTCTGCCAGTGACTCCAGATTCAACTGATTCTAGAAGAAGCTCTACTGGAAAGTTGACATCTTCCAAGGACGAAGAAAAGATTGTTCCCAATTACCTGCGAGCTTCTACTGGCTCGTGTCATGATTTCTGCAAATATGGGAAGAAGCATGCTGCTGAGGAGAAGGAAAGGCGCCCATTTCCCAGAAGAGCGATCAAGAAACCTACTGATAGTAACCAACACTCACCCGAGATCCAAATTCAAGTCTTTAGCAAACCTCGTAGCAAGAAAAACACAGAAGGGCTTTTGCTTTCTAAATCAGCGGACAGCAACAATGATGTCCTAAAGGCTGCTATATCCACTGCCAGGAAGGCATCAGTCCCAGAGCGGTTAAGACAGTCAGCTGACTCAAAGCTTTCAAGGTTTCATGAGAGCAAGACATCCCCGGCTGAAAGGTTGACAGGATCATTGGATGGTAAACTTTCCGGGTTTATTGAGACATCCTCCCAAATGGGAAGGACATCATCACGGGAAAGGAAGACTACTGCTCAGCCAACGGATCTCAGAACTTTACCTGATCCAGAAACCAATCTTGCATCGAAGACACTCAAGAAAGGCATGCCATCATCCTCTCTAGCAAAGCTCAAGAACCCCTCAAATCAAGCTTCACCAAGGGCTAAAGGACTTGCCCTGTCGGAAAAACTTGGTAGTTCTTTCAAGCCTAAATTATCGTCCTCTCCTAATAACAATGCAGCTGGGTTAAGTGCTCAACGAAAAAGCGACATTGGAACAGGACAGAAATCTAGCGCCCTCCCCAAGGTAGCTCTAAGGAAATTGCAGGTGTCCCCAAAACCCTTGGTGTCCCCTAGACTTTCTGGGGCAGGATTAAGTGCTCGACGACAAAGCGACATGGGATCAGGACAGAAATCTAGCCTCCTCCCCAAGATAGCTCTAAGGAAATTGCAGGTGTCCCCAAAACCCATGTCATCCCCTAGACTTGCTGTATCAGCCAGAGCTTTGGCTTCCCCAAGGGTTTCCTTGTCTCCCAGGTCTTCCCTTGCTGGTGTGGCAGGCCTAAATGCAAAGAGAAATCGGGCTGCGAAAGTTTTATCTGCTATGAAGAATGACCAACCAAAGAAAGAGGACAAGATTAGGAAGGCAGCAAGTAACTTGCAGCCCAAAATTCAGGACAAGAGTAAGAAGGAGGTGACTAACAAGCAGAGAACGATAAAGAAAGTGAAGGAAGAGGGCGATGACAAGGTGGAGGAAAAAACTTTGTATGTCATCAAAATGGAAACCGAGGACAAACATATGGAGTCTGACCTGAACGAACGTCTCGACGGCGATACTTCGCCTCTTCCAGTGTCATCCCCGAGGCAGTTATCTCTTCCGGGATGTTCTTCAGCATCATCGCGTACTAACAATGAAGAAGAAGAAGAGGGATCCGAGTATAGTTTGACTGACGGTGAAGATGAGTCTTCATATGAATATGACGATGAAACAGAGTCCATGGGAATTGAAGAACAAAATAAATGGAACAGAAGGAAGGCGATGGTTTCCTGTTCTGGAGATATTGATCCACAACCCGTGAAGCTACGTTTCAGGAGGGGGAAAGTGATTGAGATAAAGTCGGAGAACGATGGTCCAAGAAGGCTGAAGTTCAGGAGAAGCAGAGTATTAAGTGAGGGCAAGAATCCGAAGGCTGATGGTCGTGTGAGGTATCAGAGCAGGGGAGAAGGTGATGTTGTTGATGCAAAGAAGAGCGAGGAGAAAGTTGTTTTGAGACATCAAGAAGTGGATGGAAAGAAAGATGCTGGGCAAGGAGGGCTGTTCAACAATGTGATTGAGGAAACTGCGAGCAAACTGGCGGAGACGAGGAAGAGTAAGGTGAAGGCCCTGGTGGGTGCTTTCGAAACTGTGATCTCCCTCCAAGATGTGAAGCCCTCTGGAAATGTCGTCGTCTCGTGACAGCGATGAGTGGATTAATGAAGTCCCCTTGCTAAACTTTGAATCGGGTTTCTTGCCAATAGAGCACAGTGTTGTGTGTGTGTGATGAGAGGGTGGCTTGGTCTTTTTGGTATTTCCAAATTGGTTATCAGCGGTCTGGGTTTGGTTTTGTGTGAAAATAATCAAATGAAGTAATGAAATGAAACAAAATTTGAGCAGAGCCAGCTTTCTCCTGTTACTGAATAGGCATTACTCATTGGCATTACTGAGTTGTCCTTGCTCCCATCTTCTCTATAAGCAGAAAATCCATGAACAAGATCCATGTCCTGCGTCATATTTGCAACTATCTTTAAGTTGCAAACTCCGAATCTCATTGTGTTCATCTTGGAGTTGAAGATTTCGAGAATAGTTCAAAAACATGTAAACAATAAGGTTGCATGCACTGCAACTTTGATTAGGGTTGACGAAATCTTATTGAGATATTCTGAATGTCAATCAAGCTACGGCAAGTTGGTGAATGGCAACTCTACCCTCACAAAAATTATATTCAGATAGAAGTATAGAACCAATTCATCACGATCAACAACTTTCGACTGGCAAAACATCAGTAATAATATGAAAACCATGAATAAAAGGAGAAACGAGCATACGGGGTTGTCTCTCGGAACAATAACAGGACAATACATAAATGGAATGACATTGGCGAAAATCTGCTTAATGGTCGATAGATTACTGGATTGAGTGCACATCTTTGAAAGACAATGACCACTAGGTAAAGGCCTACACTATATATCCCAACAAAATTTGCCCACAACAAACCCTTGGCATGATTTGCACTCGCACCTGCTCACTCATCAAGGGGCAACAATAATCCGTCCAGCAACTTGGTCGAGATCCCGCTGTCCATTTGAGGTGATTCTCCTTCCACTGAGAACAAAACAATCAATGCCTACCGTCATTAGCAAGCCAGTCAAGAACAAAACATAGATTAGGAAACTTTGCTACGATAGCAAGAACAGGAAACCCAATACAGGTTTGACAGCAGAGTAGAAGTTAACCAACGATGAGAATTTCACGTTCAATGTTAGAGAAGGGTGAAGCAGAATCTCTCAACTCACCCAGTGGGAACAACTTCCACAATGTTCAACTTCTGTAGTTCACTAAGAATATGTCTGGCAATAGCACCACTGCTTTTGCAGAAATGGGGCGGTCGACTTCCATTCCTTTTGCTTCCGCCGTAGATTCTTCGGAAAGCTCCCACGCCCAAGCCTCCCCTCAGGTACACCTTCCTTGCCATTGAGGCTGCAGTCATGATCAAGCTCAAGGTTATAAACAAATAATCAAGGAATCAAGTCTGTAAACTCGCACCATAAACTGAAGAGAGCAAAAATCAGAGCTAGATGGCTAATTAATACTCACCAGCTCTAATGTAATACCAGTCAGGATCATATGGTGCAAGCTCCTTCAATTTACCAGTCTTGACAATATCTGTCCATGGGGGCAGCTCTATCTGCAATCCACAGAAGTAATTGAAAAGGATGTAAGACCCCTCACTCAAACCACACAAAGTTGCTCACTGTTGAGGCATCATACAAGTGAAAGCTGATCTTTAGATTTCACAATTGTATGGCAAAATCAACAAGATAGTAAATCAGATCATTCTCTCCTAAGTACTAAACCAAAAATTCATCCTAAGGAAAACCAACACAACCTCCAAACCTAAAGCTAATCCCTTTTGGCTCAATCACAACCCAATGATCAACAGAAACCACCATGACGAAATATAAAAGCTCCCCAGGTTGCAATGAACACCACTATGCATCTAAAAACGCCTAAACTACAGCCATAGATCAATGACAGTTCATCAATGGAGCCGTCGAGTGTGCATCGACGCAAGCGAATTGCTAGGGGCTTGGGAGTACCTTGCCAGACCGCTTGAGGTGAGCGGCATAGGCCTTGACAAACTCGTGAGGAGATACATCCTTCACAGTGCAAGCCTTCATGACTTCGCCGGGAGCCGCCATTCTTCCTTACCTTCCTTCCTTGCCCGCGAGTCTCTCCGCCGCTGTTGAGTGCGAGAGAGGTCTGGATTGGGAACAATTCGTTGCAGAAATGACTAGGGTTTTCGCTTCGTGATTATATTTTGAATTTATATGCTGGACGTATTTATGATTTACTTTGGGCCGGGCCTTCTATATTTCGATCGGGCTGCGAGTAGTCCATCAAGCAGTTTCTTGGCCACTGTATCTTGTATGTCCTGAATTGGGCTGCACATTGGAATATTCTGCAGATAAAATAAATAAAACTTACACTCATAATTGGAGAACTGAAAAAATAGGTGCAGTATTTACTAGTATGGATCAGAGGCGAGTTTGTAATTTAGTTTATGAAGGAAGTTCTTACATAGAATTAGAACATTCTGCTATCCTAATTGTTGCGATGTAAATACTGACTACCGAAAATGTTTGTTACGATATATTTCAACTTCAAAAACAACGTTAATTCACGAAGATACTATGGCTTAAGGGGGCTTAGGAAAAGAACAAGAAACAAATCTGGAAAAAGAATCCAGTCAAATTTTTATTACATCAAACCATTCATTGTAGATATAGATAACATGTAGATATGGATAATATATAATTTTATACTATTGAGACATATCGAGTTTTTATATGGATCCTTTTGGTTCGTTTGATTCTTGCTCGAGCCGGATGGTGAAAAATTATCATGTCCGGTTCCTTCGGAGGATGGGTTTCTAAAAATCCACCTATCCCAATAACAAAAAAACCTGACCTGAATGATCCTGTATTAAGAGCGAAATTATCTAAAGGAATGGGTCATAATTATTATGGAGAACCCGCATGGCCCAACGACCTTTTATATATCTTTCCAGTAGTAATTCTAGGTACTATTGCATGTAATGTAGGATTAGCAGTTCTAGAACCATCAATGATTGGGGAACCTGCAGAACTATTGAACTCCATCGCCCAACAAAATGGGAGTATATCGAAGTTTATCCGAAGACGAATAGCTGTTCTAACCCAACATTACAATAAGACAGTAAAAAAGAGAGTACCATATCACAAAAGAGATATACGTCAAAATACAATGTAAGCCAAAAACGATACAGCCGCCTCTTGCGTTCCCAATACAATGACAATGCAAGAAGCAAAGGGGCAATAATACTTAAAACGGGTAAGTAAGAAAGAAAGAATCATCGGAATTTTCTGTGTCTCAAATAAAAGCATAATATGATCTGTCTGGTAAGGGATCTCCAACTGGCCAAAGCATCTCAAAGTTCTCCTCTAAGCCACAGCAGGCAAGTCCTTCAACCACGCATCCAGAGGCTTACCGATCGAGTAGACGATGAAACCGATCTCCCTCAGCTTATCCACATTCACAACGTTCCTCCCGTCGAACACAAAAGCAGGCTTCTGCATGTTGTCGTAGATCCTCTGGAAGTCCAGCTTCTTGAACTCGTCCCACTCGGTCAAAATGCAGAGACCATGAGCATCTTTGGTTGCCTCATAGGCATCCCAGACCACGCCGACTTGCTTCACAGTGGTCGGGCTCATGGGCTGGAGGTGGAGAGGGTGGTCCCAGTCGAACTTCTTCATGGAGAGGTCCCTCTGAATCTGGTCCTCGGTCACCTGGGGATCGTAGATGCTCAACCGGGCCTTATCGCCCAAAAGCCCCTTGCAGACATCAATCGCCGGGGTCTCCCTGGTATCACCAGTATCCTTCTTGAATGCAAAGCCCAAAATGGCAATCTTCTTGGTCGCCACGGTGTTGAACATGGATGAAACGAGACGGTTCACGAATCGGTTCTTCTGGTAGTCATTGATCTTGATGACTTGCTTCCAGTATTCAGCCACCTCGGGGAGACCATTGCACTCACAGATGTAGACCAGGTTCAGAATATCCTTCTGGAAGCAGGACCCACCAAAGCCGACACTGGCGTTCAAGAACTTGGGACCGATTCTCGAGTCCTTACCAACAGCAAATGACACTTGAGTGACATCAGCACCAGTTGCCTCGCACAAGGCTGACATGGCATTCACCGAAGAGATTCTCTGAGCCAGGAAGGCATTGGCAGCAAGCTTGGAGAGCTCAGCAGACCAAAGGTTGGTGGTCAAGATTTGATCTTCAGGGACCCAGTGAGCATAGACCTCCTTCAATGTCTGAATAGCCTTCTGCCCCTCGGGGGTTTCCCTTCCTCCAATGAGAACCCTATCAGGGTTGAACAAGTCTTTGATGGCTGTTCCTTCAGCAAGGAACTCAGGGTTTGAGAGGATCTGGAACTTGATCCCCTTGCTGTTGTGTGTCAAGATCTTCTCAATTGCCTCTGCAGTCTTCACGGGAACAGTTGACTTCTCCACGACAATTTTGTCCGATTTGGAGACATCAGCGATCATACGCGCTGCACTCTCCCAGTAAGTGAGATCTGCTGCTTTCCCAGCACCAAGACCCCGAGTCTTGGTCGGGGTGTTGACCGAGACGAAAACAATGTCTGCCTCGAAGACGTGCTTCTCCACATCGGTGCTGAAGAACAGGTTTCTGCCTCTGCACTCCTTGACAACATCCTCGAGGCCTGGCTCATAGATGGGTAGCTGGTCACTGTTCCAGGCATTGATCCTGGGGACAGAGATGTCAACAACTGCAACTTCAATTTTGGGGCACTTGAGTGCAATCACAGCCATGGTTGGCCCACCGACGTAGCCGGCACCAATGCAACAGATCTTCACCATTTTGTCTTTCCTGTGATGAAATACAGCAACGCCAAATTAGAATACCGAAATCAAAAGGCACATGCAAAGAACTCAAAATTCTGATCCCAAACCCCCACCCCCCCCCCCCCCCCCCCCAAACCTTCTCCTGATCTATAATTTACTAGACTAATGTAACAGACTCCATTAATTTAAAGAACAAGACTTGTTGCACGGTGCTTTGGTGCCTAAGATCTAATCATTTGCATAGAGATAGGCCAACTGCTTGCAACAAATTCAGCACTTCCTACGGATCCCGTAAATGAATTTCCTGAAATTATGTAACAGATCTAGGGAGCGTACATCATGCTATTGCCAAGCCACATGGATCTCGGAAGCTAAAAGTGCAAATCACAGGCTGATATGCACGTTTGAGCCAATAGGGGAGAAGAACGTACGAAGTAATCAAGAACAAAACGGTCACATAACACAACTGAATCCACCACAATAGTCCCTAATAATCTATAGCTACATCTCGTTCCAAATCAATTCAAATCTAGCGATTTCCATAGTCAATAGAGAAAGCAAGCAACTGAACCGAATTCACAAATCGGCAGGCAAACCAAGCTCACAGATCTCGCAATTCAAACAATTCAGCTAGAGTATGGAACATTAGATCGAAGAGCCTAACTGACTGAGCTCGAATCGAGGAAGATAGCTAACAGAGAATCAAACACTATAGTCGTGGGGGGGCAGATCGGTAATGCATACAGTCAATGGATCTACGCGTAGAATTTCAGAAATCGGGAAGGAAGAGATGTAGAAACGACAATGGAAATCGGAAGCGGAAAGAGTGAGATCGGGATTCTTGCGCGTACCTTGGCAGTCGGTGGAGGGAATCTAGAGAGAGAGAGAGAGGAGCTGAAAGGAAATGGGTGCGATGGTGGTGGACGAGAGAGAAGGGGAGAAGGGTGGTGGGTTTATATACAGGGAGCAGGAGGAGACTGGAAGAAGAGCGCCAGCAAATTTAGTCAGCAACAAAAGAGGCGGGGAGGAGAAGAGATCTGCGACTGCGTGTAAAATGGTGTGGCCACTCTCCTAAATCGAGGGTCGGGTGCATAACCGGTTATGCGGGTATGCACAATTAGGGCGGAACCCGCAACTTTGGTACCGGTATTTGAGATTATAATAATATAGTATTAAATTAGTCGATATTTTGTATTATCGGATATACGTATTATTTTATGCGATTGGGAGTGAGATTGCATTTCAAGTGTTATTCGATATCAGAGATTAAGAAATTGAGATCGGTGTATGCCGAAATATCGATTCATACTGAAAAATAAGCTAGTGCGTATTTTATCACTCACTTCTACCAACCCATCAACCGCCAAGAATCAAGATGGTTAGTTAATTGCACATAGCTCATTTTGTTGCTATTTGACAACTCATGTCAACCTCATTTTGTTACTTGTAGTATATCTAGGAGTGGCTTATGTTAGACAGTCATTCATTGTTGTATAATTAGCCCATTATGTATTCAGCCCATGTGTGATTAAGGACTTAGTTAGACTTAGTTAAAGGTTAGAAGAGTTAGTAAAAGCCCACGTTGGCATGCAGCCATGCAATACTCGGCCGAACCTAGGGTTTCGGTTGGGTTACAGTATGTATATATATTCCTTATGTGTTGATGGAAGAAGTAAGGAAATACGATCAGTAGCCGGAGAGTCTTCTAAGCTCTCCCGTGGATTAGTCCTGATTATCAGGGATACCACGTAAATCGCTTGTCTTTGTTCATTCGGTTTTGATTCAGTATGTCTAACATGGTATCAGAGCCTTCTGAAGGCGTTGGCATCCGTCTGGATTCGAAGAATTACGCTGTTTGGGAGTTTCAATTTCGTGTGTTTGTTGAAGGCAAGGGTTTGTTGTCGATCCTTGATGGAACTTCGCAGAGACCGATTGTACCTCCTGCTTCTGAGCAGGAATTGAATACGTGGATTCAGAACAATGCACGGGTGAAATCATGGATCCTAGGGACGGTGGATCCGTCTATTGTTCTTGGTCTGCGTCTGTTTACAACCGCCCATGAGATGTGGGCGCAGCTGGCTTCGACCTACACCACCCAAGACTCAGCTCGTCAGTTTGAGCTCGAGGTTGAGCTGTCGCACCTCAAGCAAGGTGAGATGGATATTGCTTCTTACTATAATGCAGCCTTGAAATTATGGACTGAACAAGATTTGTTGTTGGCCTCACTTCGACCCGCGGCAATCTCCGAGGATGCTCGCGCTGAACGTCTCCGATCTCGTCTCTATCAGTTTCTGATGAAACTTCGCCCGGAATATGAACCGCTGCGGGCTTCTCTCCTGAATCAAGATAATCTGAAATTTGAAGGGGTTATTGGTCGCTTGCTGCGGGAGGAAACGCGCCTCCGAACGCAGGAGCGTCTTGATGTCCGCCCTGGTGCCAACGAAGCTGTCTTCTCAAGTGTTCCAGCTGCTGTCGAGGAATCCCAGGCGTATGCAGTCGGCCGCCCCAATTTCCAGCAGCGGGTTCCTGTGTCCGAACTCATCTGCCGATTTTGTGAAGAAAAAGGCCATCTCCAAAAACACTGCCGTAAGAAGAACTATTGCGTTTATTGCAAAAGATCCGGCCACATAGTTCTGGAATGTCGCACTCTCAAATATCGCACCCAGTCCCAGTCTTCCTCGGCGACAGCTGCTCCAAACTCTCGTCCTGCCTATGCCGCGCAAGCTACTGATGGAGATGGGGGTTTTCTTTCGGCGGATGCTGTTGAAAAATTGGTAAATGTTGCACTTCAAAAGGCCTTGCCCACTGCCATAAATTCGGCGCTGCCCACTGCCATTAATTCTGCTTTTGCGTCGCTTCAAGCATCTGGTAAATCCAAACCTTGGCTACTTGATTCTGCGTGCTTTAATCATATGACAAATGCTTCTGATCAGTTACATAATATTGCTCCTGTTCGTGACTTGAAATTACAAGTAGCTAATGGTCAGCATTTGAATGTGAAGGGCGTTGGAACTATTCGGCAGCCGACTATTACTCTTGCTAATACTCTACATGTTCCTGATTTACAACCGAACTTAGTGTCAGTGGGCCAGTTGACTGAACAAAATTGCTCTGTTGTGTTTGCACCGTCTGGCTGTTTTGTACAGGATCTGACGACGGGGAGGCAGATCGGAAGAGGGAGTAAACAGGGGAGGATCTTTCAGCTAGAGGAGCTCTCGAGTCCACCCATGTCTTTGTTAGAGTCTAGTAATTCGGCTTTGTCTTCATTCTATCCTGTCTTTTCGAGTCAGTCAGATACTTCTTGGCATCTTTGGCATAGTCGTCTGGGTCATCCCAACTCATCTCGTCTTAAGTCTATGTTCCAACAGAATCTGCTTGGTA